GAGGATCAGCTGGTAAAAACTTTTCCCCACATTGTAGGTTGTCTCTTAGTTCTGTTGATGATTTCTTTTGCAGTGAAGAAGCCTTTGTTTTTTTTTTTTTTTTTTTTTTGGTACCAGGGATTGAACTCGGGTCCTTGCGCTTGCAAGGCAGGCCACCGAACCACTGAGCTAAATCCCCTGCCTAGAAGCTTTTTAATAAGATGAGATCCCATTTGTTGATTCTTTGTGCTAGTTCCCGTGCTACTGAGGATTTGTTCAAAAAGTCTTTTCCTATGCCAATGTCTTCAAGAGTTCTGCATAACTTATCTTCCAGCAAGTTTAGTGTTTCTGTTTTAATGTTTAGATCTTTAATCTACTTGGATTTTAATTTAGTGCATGGTGAAAGATAAGGGTCCAGTTTTAATCTTTGGCAGGTTGAAATCTTTTTAACAAGTCATGTCTTAGGATGACACTGTGTCATCCTGGGTAGAGATAGGAAGCTCAAGGTCTGGAGGAGTCAGGTGACTGAATACAGAAAATAGTGGTTGGAAGTTGCCTACCAACTTGATTTGTTGTGTGCTTGTCCAGAATGGGGCCTACTTGTGGAGGTCTTTGCCCTCCTGGATATGCCTTGAACCCTATTTAAATTGTTCCCAGTAACATTTCTGACTACAGGTTTCCAAATTCCATTTAATACAGTTTTCAGCTTGGATTGTGTCCTATCAGCCTTCTCCCTATTCCTAATTCTATGTATAGTATTAAAACACAAAATTACAACTAATTTAATTTGAAGGTTGAATGGGCTTTTATTTGTAATTCTAGAAGCAGGCAGTATCTCTTTCAGGGAAATAGAGTAAGTGTTCCACTGAGCTAAGCAAAGAACATTGGCTTTATAGGTAGAGAAGGGTAGAAGAAAGTAGAAATAAAGAACAAAAAGTGGATTGGTCATTTCAAAAGTTACTTTCCTTGTGGAGTTAAGACAGAGGGGACTTCCTTATTACAGAAACTCAGATGGAGTGTGGTTTTGGAAAACTGTGTTTTTGGAAAAGTGGCCCATTTCAAGGTTCATTTGGCCTACGTAGCACTTAGCACAAGTGATTCCATTCTGATTTGCGTGGTATTTTGGCACCTGGTGCAGAAAGAAATGGCCACTCATACCCTATGTTTAACAATTATTGTATCATTTCTTAAACAGAAAGGTAGAAAAAACATATTCATCTACTGGTAATTAAGAAAGTCTCAGCTAAAGCTCTCTCATAAAGAAACAGACATAGAATTTTGCTTTTTCCTTATGGAGTAAGACAGAGGGGACATCCTCAGCAGACAGTCCTCAGCGATGTCATCAGCAGAGCAAAGTCCTCAGTAAATGCAGCAGAAGTTGTTTCTCAAGGAAAATCCTAGCTCTGCTGGCAAGAAACTTTGTGGCCTCTCCTTGTAGCAAGATGATCAGCCTGTACCTGCCTGCCTGACCTCAGGGGCCCAGCTCTTCCCTTAGTCAGCAACACAAAATACCTGTGTTTAAGCACATTAGTCCTTGAAACAACTGCCAACCAGATCCTGTCAAGTTCCTGTCTGTGAGCTTGGCCAGGGCTAGTCAGCAATATTTTTTTTCTACTAATCTAAAATAAAATAGGAAGTATAATGACCATGTAACATATTTTCATATTGCTAAATTATTGAGTTTGGAGGACTGTGAAATTATTTCTTTTACTAATTTTTGATGTTAAAGATCTTATTAAAGATGACAGATGATGATTTTGAATGTTCTTATCAAAACAAACAGTTGGCAGCTTTACACTGGCCTCAGCCATTTTAGGGAAGAAATTTGGCCATTTCATGAAGCTCTCAATTTTGGAACTATATATCTATGAATCTGGGATGCACTTATTCTTCAGAGTTTTCTCAACTTCATTATTATGAGCATTTTGGGCTGGATACTTCTTTGTTGGTGGTGGCTTCCTGGACTTTGTAAGATGATGAGCAGCATCATTGGCAGCTACTTCCAGGACTCTGGTAGGAATCCACCCTTCCCAGATGTCGTAAGTGGAAATGTCTCTAAATAAATGCCTATCTGTCTGCAGGAGTCAAAATTGGCCTCCTCACCAAACACAATGGATAACTGCCAGTCTACAGCAATATTTCAAAAATTATAGACTGAACTCATTAATGCTCTGTGAACTCAATTTAGGGGGGGTTAAGAGCAGCATTTAAAAAATTAAATATATGAGAAAAATGATATTTTCAAGAAATGGTGCTGGGAAAGTTGGATATCCACATGCAGAAAAATGAAACTAGACCTCTATCTCACAAATTACAAAAATCAACTCCAAATGGATTAAAGACATGTGTGTAACACAAGAAACTCTGAAACTAATTGAAGATGTGCCCATCTGCCATTCTCTTTCTATCTTGGGGGTAGCATGACATGGATTAAAATCATGAGCCAAAATAATCCTTTTCTCCTTTAAGCTGTGTATGTCAGAACAATGTAATGGGCAAAAAATGTTTAGATGAGATCTCAAAGGCACAAGAAACAAAACCAATAATAGATAAATGGAATTGTATTAAACTGGAAAGTTTCTGCACAGCAAAGTAAACAACAGAGTATAGAGACAACCTACAGAATCAGAGAGAATATTTTCAAACTCTGCCTCTGACAAGGATCTAATATTCAGAATATATGCGTTATGGCTTATATCTAAAATGTCTCCCAAATGTCTTATGTGTTTGGAAGGTGATTAGATTAATAGGGATCCTATAGCTGACTTGCTGTTAGGAAATGGGGCCTGGTTGGATGTGGGTCACCTGGAGCGTAACCTGAAAAGATGTACTCTTTGTTCCCAGTTCCTCCTTTCTCTCTCTGATTCCTAGATAGCATAGGTCAATTACCTTTTCCTTCACTGTGCCCATCTGCCATTCTTTCTCTCTTGGGGGCAGCATGACATGGATTAAAATCATGAGCCAAAATAATCCTCTTCTCCTTTAAATTGTGTATTTCAGGTATCATGTCCTGGGACCAGAAAGTGACTTCAAGATGATAAAAAACTCAGTAGCTTCTGTGAAGTACACAGTAGGCTGAGGCAGGAGGATTGAGAATTTGGGGCTAGGTTGGGTGACATAATGAAACCCTGGATCACAAAACTAAAACACCACATCAAACCATAACCAAATACTTCAGTAGCAGAAATCCTCCAAATAACCTAATAAAAGTAGCAATGGTCCTGAACAGACATTTCTCAAAAGAAGACATACAAATGTGTAACAAATGTATGATCCTTGTTGCATCCATGATGTAAGACCACTGGGGAATGAGGATGCTTATGTTGACGCACGCAAGAAGACACAGTGACAACACAGCAGGATTCTTGCTGTCATGGCTCAAACCATTTCTAGGACCGGAAGAAATCCTGAACTGAGCAAGATTAAGGTTTTTCACTCCTGGACAAATAAGAGCTTAGAAGAGAAACTAAGTCCAATTATGGAAAAATTAATTATCAATTGAAATTTTAAAGCCTGATTAGTATTCATGCTACATAAGTATCTATGGTGGTTTACAGTATATGAAAGACCTATCTCCTTCATTTTAAAAGCTTAATTAATACAAAAATCTTAAGAAGTATTATTACTTCTATAATCATTTTAAACATGGGAAAATGGAAGCAAATTAAGGTTAGACTATATTCAAACTATAGCAGATAGGTCCTTAAACATATTTGCCGAATGAACAAATGGATGGATAGATTCTTGGGTACTGAGTGTCTTTTACACAGTCCTACTCTTAACTCTTTTTTTTTTTTTTTTTTTTTTTTGGTACCAGGGATCGATCTTGGGTCCTTGCATTTGCAAGGCAGGTAGTGGAACCATTAAGCTAAATCCCCAGACCCACTGTCCTACTCTTTATAGAGGCCTCTTTTGAGAGGTGCTTATTCTCAGCTTCCTTTATTTCATAAACAGCTGCTTCTGTTGCCAGCCACAAAGGCCTGTTTTCATTTCTTATCCCCAAACCCCTCCTTTTTTTTTTTGTTATCCTAGCCACTCTTTTAGCCAAGATGTTTAGAATATTTTTCCTCTTTCATGTATATTTTTAACAACTGTTTTTTAAGCTTATGTTTAATTGTAAGCTTCTCTTAGGTGGTTTTTAGAAGCAGGAAGCATTGGTTATAAATCAGTATGAGCAAACGCTTTGCTATCTCATTCTGAAAAAATTATAATTAAAATTCATGGTAGAAAGAACTCTAAAGTGGCAAGTTGCCTTTCTAGGATATTACCATTGTCATAATTTAGATTTGTTGTCAGTAACTAATCTACATTATTAAATAAAATTCAGCTCGTTGGAGTTACTGAGTACTTACCATGTTGGATAAGTAGTACTTCTGAAATATTATTAGTTTTATCACATATGTTAAGTTGCTTTTAGAAAGTAGCCTCAGCATTACTTTAAATGAGATGGAGAATATTTAATTTCTCACACATTCAACAAATTTTTAATGAAAACAATGCCCTAAATAGAGTAAATCTTCATCAGATGTGTCTACTTTTCTTATTGCTGAGACAAAATACCCAACACACACCAGTGAAGGGAGGAGAGGTTTATTGAGCTCATGGTTTGTAGAGGTTTCAGTCCACATTGGCTGGCTCAAAGGCAGGGTGGCACGGCAGAGGGCATCACAGAGGAGAAATAGTCTATGGCAATCAGGCAGGTGAGAACAAGCAAGGGACAAGACAAGACTCTTTCTGTCCCTTATATTGTATCCAGGCTCCCAGGATTAGTGTAATGTCAAAGCAATCAGTGGACTGAGTAATCTCCCACCCCTAATTCCAGCACCCTTAATTCTAGCGTTGCACTATGAATCAACCACACATTCTAGATCCAGCCATCTCAGAAAAGCCCCACCTATGCTTGTGTGAGTCTTTGGGGGACATCTAGACACAAACTATAATGGGATGACTTTAAAAATTTAAAGGCAATGCATGATAAATATGATTTATCCCTTAACAGACTCTTTTTTTTTTTTCTTAAGGCATCATGACAGAGAAGCTTTTCCCAAAGATTATGACATAGAGGGTCCTGAGAAAGTGAAAAAACTGTGTAATTCAACATATTGGCGACTTGGAACTGATGAACCTTCAGTAAGTAGTTGCTGATAAATATTAGTGTCTTTGTCATAATGACACATGAAACAGTAAGGGCAGGAGCATTTTTCTAGTACCACACTCCTTTTTAGCTAAGTTAGTTACTTAGGCAGGTGACTCAGCCACTCCATGATGCTTCAGCAAACTTACCTATGATGTATCTATTTCATATGTCTACTGGGTGAATTAAGTGTTTAATATAGTATTCAGCTGTATTACTTAGCTTTTTGTCAGATGTTGTGGTTTGGACCTCTGTCTCCCAAAGATCATTGGGTTGAAGGCTGGGTTGCTGATGGCCTTTTGGGAAGTGATCGAATCATGAAGCCTTTAATTTCATCAGTGGAAGGATGCATTGATGAGATCACAATTTGATGACATTATTGGGATGTGATGGAAATAAGAGAAAGAGCCTGTGTGAAGGGGATTTGACCTTTGGGAACTATTTAGTTAATGGCCCCTTCCTTTCTGGCTCTTTCCCCTTCTCTGTGCTTCCTGGCTACTATGATGTGAGCAGCTTTCCTTCTGCCATGATGTTCTGCCATGCTACAAACCCTGAGGCAGACTTACTATGAGTTGAAACCTTGGATACCATAAGTCAAAATGAGTCTTTCCTCCCCAGCGTGTTTATCTCAGTTACGACTAACATAGTCAGTGTACTGAAATACGTGCCAATGGCTATTAAGAAGCAAAGAGAGGTTTATTATGGCTCACAGATTTGGAGGTTCAAGTATAAACTTAGGTGACTCCCTTAGTCTGGGCCTCTTGTAAGGGTGGCATATAATTGTGAGAACACATGTCACAGGGAGAGGTCACATTCTGAGCCAGGAAGCAGAGAGAGATTGGGAGACACGGGTCCCATAATCTCTTTTGAGAACACAGCCCCATGACCTAAAGACACCCAACAATGACCTAATGACTCCCACTAAAATATACTTCTTAAAGGTCCCGAGTGGTTCCCAATATGGCCACCCTGGGGACTAAGCCTTTAACATATGGACCTTTGGGGGACATTTAATATCCAAACTGGCACATAGAAAGTATTCAAGAAATGTTTACTATGATAATGTTGTTGGTGCTATAGTAGCAGCTTACTAGAGGTCTCATTTAGTCTCTAGAGTAACCCACAATAGGTATTATCATCTCTGTTTTACAGAGAGAAAAGAGAGTCCTAGCAATTAGGCAACTCACTCAAAGTCACACAGCTGGGGAGTGGATTGAAATTTGAACTCAGGACTTTGATTTCACGTCTTTAGTTCTTGTTTTGATAGTGGAGTGACAAGAAACTTAAATGTGCTATTAATATTCTGATAAAATTTGTACAATCCAGTTACAAAATGAATATGTATTGTATACACAGTTTCTGTGTGAATTGCTATGAGTGAATTACAATGAGTGAATTGCTATGAGTGTTTCTGCCTTGGTATCTGTCCAGTAAACAGCAGGCAGGAGCTCACCTTCTAAAAGACTCCCAAGCTGTGTTCTGCCATGCTGGTCGCTTTGTGACTAGAGGAAGACTTAGTTCAGCCTTGGTGGATGGCTTTGGGGCCTAAAGAGCTGCTTAGGACAGTGATGGGTTGTTTTTTTTTAAATCATTGTCAAAAATACCTGAGGAAATCAACTTTAAAAGGAAAGATTCATTTTGCTTCACAATTTCAGAGGTTTCAGTCCATGGTCAGTTAGCTTCATTGCTTTTAGGTCTGTGCGGAGGTAGAAAAATCATGGTGGGAAGAGGAAAGCTGCTCACCTCATGGTGGCCAGGAAGAAGAGAAAGAGAAAAAGAGCCAGAAAGGAAGGGATGGGGAATCAGCCATAGTTCCCAAGGTCATGCCCTGTACTAATTAGAAGTCATTTAAGGAACAGATTTAATCTAAAAGCACGATTATACAAAGGATTTACTCAGTAGGACTACAGGATTGAAAGCAGAAGAGTCTAAATGACTGCCAGATCAAAGGTGGAAGAATGCAAAATGGCTGCCTGCGCAGTGGAGGGCTGGAGGATGCAGTTGAAGGTTGAAGGCCTGAAGCTCATTACAGAGTTGGATGCTAATCTGTGTTGGAAGGTGGAAGGGTCTCTGTGGGAAGGCTGAAGAGTCTGAATTGGAAGCTTGAAGGAACTGGAGATGTGCTTCCAAAGGCAGTGGCAAAGACTGGAGGTCCTCCCAAGAAAAAAGAGGGGCAGCTTCCTTCTTCTTCCCCTTTTTATTTGGTTCAGGCTACAAGCCTATTAGTTGATACCACCCAAATCTAGCACCAACCAGTGCCAATGTCTTCCCTCCTTAGTTTGCATTCTATGTCTCAATGATCCACAGACACACCCTTAGCTTTATTAGTCTGCTAGGAATTTCTTTTCATGTATTACAATTTATGATTACTTGGCCCCTTGATTCACTCTTTTCATCGAGGCTCCATGTCTTATTTCCATTACCTCACAATAATGACATCAGATTATTATCCCATAAATGGGTTGAGCCACTTGATGAAGTTAGAGCCATGATGATCTAATCATTTAGTAGAAAACTCTGTCAGCTGTCAACAAAGCCTTTATCGCATAGGTTTTGGGAGACATTTCAAATTCAAACTGTAACAGTTCGTGCATGCACACATGAACATACATGCACACATGAACATACATGCACACACACACACTCACACTTTCTTTTCTGATTTTCCTCTTGCCTTACAGCCTAATTCTGAGGAGCAGTCTGGGGTTTTTCAGTTTCTACCCTCCCCTCTTGTGATTTGCACCAAGTTACCTTGTTGGTTATTAGCTAGTATATGGATGGGGCTCTTGAGTCTGATGCCCAACTCAGTAATCATCCTACACCTCTCTCCCAAAACCCATGTCTTTTTGAGCATGACTCTGATTGGAACAAGAGAAAATTGGCCAATACAAGCATTGGTTGGCATGTGCTTAGGGTCTTTCACCTTTAAAAAAAAGATTTACTTTTCATTTCAGAACGCTTTCTAGGAAAAAGTGAGACGAAATGAAATTAAAGTATAGGATCCTCAAGCATTTCTTCCCCTAGATTCTATGCATTGTAGTGGTCAAGTCTCAGGTTTAACAGAAGATGTATAAATAATGTTTGCCTTTTCTATGTCTTTTTCTTGATGGCCTCAGAAATTCTGTCCCTCTACCAGCTTTAGAGCATTAGGAAGAAAATAGATTGAGGAGTTTTTATTTTTTATGAAACTGCTATTCTCATATCTTAATAAGTTACATTTTTCTCTATTAGACTTTTTGTGTATAAAATACTTGTCCATCCATGTCTGTGTTTGTTCTTCACAAGACGGCTATCAAATTGGCAAGAAAGGTATTATTAACTTAGTTCTAAACCTAGAATTCCAGATCTTATGTGACTCACCCAAAGCTCCAAGTATACAGTGACGAAGGGGATACATACATGTCCTACAGGCCTTCATGTAATGGGTGAATAAATTCATTTTTCTGTTGTCGCAGAGATGTGGTAGAGACTTAAAGACTAGAACACTCTTGATCATTGGCAGGAACCATACATCTTAAAGCAAATTACTGGACTAGCTAGGTGGAACCTTTTGAGAAATTATAAACTAAGTTAAACTAATACTAGTAGTTATGTTCCTGAGGACTAGGACCTGAAGAATTGAAAGAATTTGTTAAGTTGTGGGTTGCATGTCCCTTCCTCTAAAGTTGAGAGGACTTTTGGGGGAGTCACTGAGATTAGTATGTATGTCCTGAAATTTGGAGAACAGAGGGTCCAGGTAAACAGCATGTGCCTGAGAACCTAAACATGATAGGCTTCGCTTGCTGTGGCAGAACAGGCGAAAGGGAGTTTGCTGTCCTTGGAACAGGCATAGCAGAGGACACAAATTTATGAGTGTGAGTTACCCGTGGGAACCATGGGGAAAAAATCCTGTAGAGCCCTCTTGAAAAAGTTTGCCAGGAGTGGGGAGTGCAAAGAGACCCCAAACTAGGGACCCACCAGGTACCCAAAATTCCGGAAGAGGAATTATTTCAGGAGAAACTTTGCCATTCCAGCCAGCTGCAGTTGGAGATCCTTTGAAAGAGAATGCCTGAAAACAACTGAAAAATCCTCTAGGAGAGGAGGAGCTGGTTTTGAGGGCCCTTCAAGCCCAGATGCATTAGTACAGGCCAAGAGAGCAAGGAGCACTTAGCACTGTGCCTTCACATCGTGTGTCTCCTTGTCAGTGAGGCCTAGAAGGCACCCATGAGTAGAAGAGGGAAGCAGCAGAGGGACACAGTGATGAGCAAAACTCTGCTCACTGCAGGGCCTGCAGCAGAACTGAGCTGGGAAAGGAGGAAGCTTACATATAATAGACCAAGTTATACTTCACTGGTCTGGGAGCTTTCACCAGTGGGATGAGATCCTTGAAATTGGAGTGGCCCAGCAAAGCTGTGAAACTGGCCTGAAATTTCCATCAAGCAATAGAAGAGAACTATCTGTGTGATGAAAGGCACGACTTGATCTAAATAAAGTTGCTCTGTGATTGCATTCTATTGAAGTAAGATCAATTCAACAATACATGTGTATTAAAAGTCCCTCACTTCATCCTCTGAACAACTTTTCAGGCAGGTACATATGTAACCTGCCTTGTATAGGTGAAGGAACTGAGACCAAATGAAACTTAATCACTTGTTTAAGATCAAACAGCTAGAAAGTATATTAAAAATTAAAATCCATTTTTATTGTCTGGGGCTAACATCTAAGATCTTAAATACACTTTCAAGCTACTTCTTGGAGTGCCAAATTGTACCACAGCTAGTCCAACGGCTTTTTAAATGCCCTATGCTGCATTCTAATTATTGTTTGATCTGGCTTGGGTAGAGTATATCTCACACTGCATATATATGTTTGGGCTTTGATTTCTTGCATCTTATCTCTAACTTTAGTCCTGTTTCCTCAAATTGTGCTCACACGTGTGGCTGGCTAGCCTTTCCCATCTCCTTTCCCTCCTGAATGCCTTCTTATATTTTTGGTATTTGTGAGATTGCTGCTGCTT